TTTTGGTAGTCAGCGGGATAATCCTTTGGTTGTAGGATATGTGGATTCAGACTATGCAGGTGACTTGCATAATAGAAGATCTACGACAAGGTATGTGTTTACTCTTGGTGGAGGGCCTATTTGTTGGAAGTCTACTGTTCAATCTGTTGTGGCACTATCTACAACTGAAGCTGAATACATGGCAGCAGCTAAACCTGCAAAAGAAGCTTTATGGCTTACTAGTTTAGTGAAGGAGTTGGGTGTTCAACAAGGTGGAGTTCAGTTGTTTTGTGATAATCAAAGTGCTATTCACTTGGCTAAGAATCAGGTGTATCATGCTAGAACTAAACATATTGATGTGAGGTTCCACAAGATCAGAGAGTTGGTTGCATCTGGAGAGGTTTTGTTTCAGAAGGTACATATTGATGAGACTGTCGCTGATATGTTCACCAAGCCAGTTACGACAGACAAGTTCAAGCATTGCTTGGACTTGTTGAATGTTTCGAGTTGTTAAAGAAGTAAGGTAACCAAACCCACATTGAAGTTTTCAAGGGGCAGAATATTCACCAAGGTAGAGATTTGATAGGTATGACTCATAAATATACCAGTAAAGATGACAGGGGATGGAGCGGAGTGAGCGAAGCGAACATCAACTGTCCTTACAAAGAAAGTCTCGTAGAGGGGGTTACGATTATGTGGGTTGGGGGTGAGGGGCACAGCCTCCGCGGTACGGTACAAGGTTAATTATGTAATTATGTACTAGGTTTTTTTATTATAATAGAGATGTAACCTAAACCTATGAGACATTGAATAAAACTTCTAGTGCCGCCTAAGCACCGAGGACATAAGCATATTGCCGAACCTCGTTAAAATCCTTGTGTTCTTTCGTTTACTTTTCCCGATTTTTCAACACATGGAATGTATGATCTCCTGTGTAAGGATGATATTATCGGTTATCGATCGGCGAGGCACAAAACTAGTTTGATTGTCAGTAACCCACCTAGGAAGAAACGGTTTCAGCCGATTGGCCAAAACTTTCGAAATCACTTTATAAATTACTGTACACATGCTAATTGGTCTAAATTCTGTCATCCATTCCGGGAGCGACACTTTAGGAATAAGAACTAGAATCGACGGATTAATTGACTCCTGTATTTCTCCGGAATGAACAATCCGCTTTACATATTCACACATAGAGCCTTCTACAGTGTTCCAATCGCGCTGATAGAATCCAGCATTGATCCCATCCACCCCTGGAGCCTTGGAATGTCCCATACTAAACACAACCGAGTGGATTTTGTCATCAGTAACAGGAAGTTCTAATCTAACCCGATCACAGGCCCTCAACGGCGAAAAAATACCCTGATCACAACTGTGAATACAAACTCCACTGTCCCTATGAAATAATTTTTGTAGAAATCCAAAGCCATCGCAATGAACTCCTCTTGATCAGTACACCATCTACCATTGTCCATTTTTAACGCAAAAACACGGTTGGCACGTCTTCTCAGAAGGATCGAAGTGTGAAAGAACTTAGTGTTTCGGTCCCCATAAAGCACCCATTTAGAGCAAGCTTTTTGCCTCCACAAGGATTCCTCTTGATTCAAAATTGAATCCAGTTCTAATTTTAGTTTATCCGCCAAATGCAACAATGAATCCGATGACATTCTAATCATAGCTCGGTCTATCCTCGGATTCTAGCCTGCAACTGACGCTTTCTCAAGACTATATGGCAAAAAACGTTGGTGTTTCATTCTACCACCTCGTCACTGAAACTCTTAATATTCTCACTTAACGAATTTTCCGAGGACCACACAGAAATTAAGAAATTAGTAAAATTTGGATGTGTTTGCCAAGCATCAATAAAGCGAAACAGACGATTATGAGTATTTCCCCCAATGTCAGTCAACGAAACCAGAAGAGGACGATGATCCGATCCCAACCTGTCCAGATGAAGAACATGAGAGTCCATAAAGGAAGCAGTCCATCTAGAATTCACCACACAACGATCAAGCCTTTGATACAAAGAACCTCTCACCCAAGTAAAGGTAAAGTCCGCAAACAAACGACCGACCCTCCTGCGATTCTGCGCACCTCCCATTCTTTCTTTATCAGAAAGAATAACGTTGAAATCGCCTCCCACGATCCACGAATGGCATCACCAGGATTTAGCATCGCCAATTAACGCCACATAGCTTTTTTTTGGGCATACACAGCAATGAGTTGGAAACGGGTATTCTCATCAGTGGTTTGAACCATAAGATTGACGAATTGGTTAGATATCTGAATTATATCTACAACCCCGTTCTCATTCCACAAAATCCAGGTTCCTCCGCTGAACACTTGTTCCTCCACGCGGAAAGAAGAATGAAAACAAAGTCTGTTAACAATTCCATCCGCAATCTACCCACTTACTCGTGGTTCAAACAACACAACAATTGTCGGTTTATAATCTTTGATGAACGAACGAAAATATTACCAAAACAATCTGCTCACGACCCCCTGGCAATTCCAGAGCATAAACTTCATTAATACACAAATAAAAAGAAAGGCACGAACCTCAGAGTTCGGCGTGACCTCCCTCGCCCGTCAACTGAGCAATTGGCATATCGGAGATAGATTCATCCTCTTCATCTGAAGATTCAATAATTGGTGAAGATGTGCCTTCCTCCCCTTGTTGGTATGCCCGATATTCCCCTCCTCCAGCAGCTACCCTTTCCAATTCACTCGAGACATGTTGGACAAGAGCTGCCACCGACATACTTTGTTTTCCATTTATGTCCTGATATCGACCAATAACCGAACCGAACCAATTTTGACACTTTGGCTCTTCTTTTGGTTCGCATCCAACGCTGCACGCTGTCCAGTCCATCCGATTTTTGAAGTTCCAACATGTTCATCTTCCAGAATGGAAACAACCTTATGGACTCCTTTACCATGTGCGACCTTTTTTCCACGATTTTCACCTTCGCTGATTGCCCTAATGGAATCACTTCCATTTTGTCGGGATTCGTTCGTCCTTTCTTTGTCTTGGCCATTAGAAATTTTGTACGCCTCATTTATCAAAGGTTTTTTTTTGCACGAGTTTGCCTATTATCCTCAGCCGGTTTACTACTATAACCCCGAGCTACTGTCACATCAGTCTCTCGTTGCGCAATAAGCAATGCCTCGCCATGGTGAACTGTATCCCCATTATCCTCAACCGGTAAGGGGTCGTACTTGGATCCACTCCCACGTTTTGCCGATTAATTCCCGTTCTCTTCCGTCTATTTGTTACCAACATCCATGGTCCAAAAAGATTAGTTTTATATATTTCTGTTTTAGCGGGTACTGAAGTCTCCGGTCGTTCCACCGATCTTATCGCATTACCCTCAATGCTATCCTTTCTAGCACCAGATATCTCCTTGGTATGTCCATAAACTCCACACTCATAATATATATTCTGCAAGCCTTCGTATTCTAACTTTTGGAGGATTCCATCAATTCGAATACAAGACAGTAATGGCTTAGTTAGGTCCTCAATTATTGTAAGTCGTGCAAATTTTTCCCTCCCGCCAGCATCAGTATTGTAATCTATTTTGATTACTCTACCAATAAAGGAAGCAATGTGTCGGAATAGAGCCTTATTATAGTATCGATAAGGAAGACCCGACAGACGAACCTAAACAATCACTTGAGACGGGTGACTCTTCGAGGTAGAAAAACCCCTACTCCAGGACTACACTGTTAAATAACTCCCATAGTCCACGGACCATCCGTTAGGACCTTGTTATAATCTGCAACATTCGAGAAAGGCACGAGAAAGTAATTATTGTCCATATCGATGATGCATAGTTCTCCCACTGGTTTCCAAAAGTGTCATTATTCGGTTAACTAACACCTTGTATCCAATAGCACGACCAAGAAGCCGAACAATGATCGCATTCCGCATATTCGAATCAATTTGTTCATGGACTCTATTCGAAAATTGAATAGAAGGTATAGTCCCCCTATGACCCATAATGATATCTTCCGGAGCCACAATCACTTCATCCTTGATAAAATCTGGCATTCGAATAACCTCTCCATTCGTATTCTTGGACCCGCCTACCATACTAGCATACGTCTGTTTCTCACTCCCAGAGTTATCCATCGTACCTGCTTCCACACCGTTTGTCCCTCATTGTTCACAATACTATTCGATAAATTTAATCCGTCACTCTCCATTAGGGCTGTAAATGAGACGAGACAGATCGCGAGCTACTCGAGTATTCTTGGATCTCGAGTAGCTCGCGATCGACTCGATCAAGGCTCGGTAAATACTCGGATCGAATGGACTCGACTCAAACTCGAGCTCTTAACAAGCCGAAACGAGCTACTCGATATTCGACTCGAAAAGCTCGTGAGCAGCTCAAAAAAATGTTATATTATAATTTTATATTTTTTAAAATTACATTATAAAAAATTTATTAAAAATACATTATTGATAATTATAAAATTTTAAAAATATATTAAAAATTCTATAATACAAACTACACTCAAATTTTAATTTTTTTAATTAAGTAATCCAAGTTCAATTGTTACATTGTATATTACTAAAAGAAAAATAAAAACTCATTTAATTAAGCACATGTTAGATTATACCCTAAACCCTAAAACTAAACCTTAAATCATAAGCCCTAAGCCCTAATCCTTGATCCGATTATGTGATAGGGTACTAAAAGAACAATAAAATCCCATTTAATTAAGCACATGTTAGATTACACCCTAAACCCTAAGCCCTTAATCTAATTATGCGATAGGGATTAAGTTATGCACATGAAGGTAACATATAAATTATGCAAAATGAAATTAACCAGGGTTTATATGTAAACAAACTAATAAATCACACTTGGTCAAATCAATCAATAGGTCCATTATCAAAACAAACGGTGATCAAAACATAAAATAAAATAAAATAACCCGAATCATAAAAACGTAAACCTTGATTAATGATGAAATTAAAAGATTACAAATATAACAGGTTGAATTAGAAGATTACCTCAAAGTGCCATCTCAGCCTGCAATGTCGCAAGTTCATCTTCCTCGGCCGTGCGCTTTTGAGGAATGGGACGAGTCGGTTGATTGCCAGGAGGCACCTGCACCGGTGCTGCAGGAGCTGTTGTGGGTTGGAGAAGTTGTTCTTCCAATTCAGTACCTTCGAGTTCTGCCTCCAATTCATCCTACAACATCAAAAGTTTTCGACTCATTGCTCGATATGTATAAATGGTAGACATGATATATTTAAACATGGATACATAGTAGGAGATGATAAGAGAAGATGAGAGAATGCGACTAAAAGTAATAACCTCGTCAAAATCAACTGCAGCTCCAATAGGGGTTGACAATGCTTCTTGAATCTGTTTCATGTTTTCGTTTTGTTTGTTGATCTCATCCATTGTTTTGTCGACATCATCTATGTTCCTGTAAAGATAGATATTTTCAGTAAAATAGTGTTTCATGAAGGTCCAAGAATAAGTACCAACAGCTAAATACATGGCACATATTGCAAGTTTAAAGCAGATTCTCGGCTAACAATACATATAAATATGTACGTACGTTGCTTTTTGCATTGCCTTCATTGCAGCTGCTCCAGTTCTCAATGCATCTACAATTTCGGTTGTAGCTTTAGCACCTTCTAACATTATCATCTACAGTTTCGGTTGTAGCTTTAGCACCTCCTCGATCGATTTAGCGGTCATTGCAGAAAAAGGAAATGAGCAACAAAATACTCTTATTGACAGAAAATTTCAAGAAAAGCATATGATTTATTGATTGATCTTGAATGCAACTCGAAGTTTATAAATCTAAATATTTACAGAGCATAAAGGAGAGGAAGAAAGGAAAAGTAAAAGATGCTCCGTGGTTGGAAGACAAGGTGGCGCTATTGCACATAAAAAGGCTCCTTGTTAGTCCAAAGCCTTTTGAATTTATATTTCACACCGGAAGCTGAAGAGAGTTAGAGCGCTGGAGAGTAGTTATAAAAGAAGTGGACTAACGGTTGTGTCAAGTATATCTTTCTCGGCCTTTTCGCTAAGATTAGTGTATGTTTATTAGCTTAATATATGATACGTAGGCTAATGGCTCATACGATATTAATTTTTTTTGAGGGTGAGAACCTTTAATAGTAGCTCGAGCTCAAAATTGAGCTAAAATTGAGCTTTTGATATTGTTTTTTGAGTTTGAGTTTTTTTGAGTTCGAGTCAAGTTTGAAAATTTAAGGTTCGCGAGTTTTTGAGTTCAAGTTGAGCTCGGTAATATTCGAATTCGACTCGGTTTGTTTATACCCCTACTCTCCATTGTTGTAGTTTGCACCTTTATATTATTGCCCGTAACTGCTCCGCCGCACCCCTTCTTGATAGCATGCACATCGTCTAGGGGATTGTGAGGAAAAGGCCTCTCTCTTCCCGGCGTTGCAGTGATGTTCAGGATATTTTCTGGTGGTCTACCGCCAGAGTGATCGTATGATTTCTGGCTGGACGGCACGTTAGGGTTTACAGCCCTAGGGTTTTCGTTAGGGTTGATGTTTTCCACTAATAAATATTTTAAAATTATTTGCAAATACATATAATATCATTGTATCATTTGTTTCTAATTTAAATAATTTTCTATAATATTCATATACAATACATAAATATTTCTCTATAATTTTTTTTATATATATCATACGAAGTTAAGAGATTCTACTCAAATTTAGAAATTAATCCACAAAATTACTAAAGTGTCATTATTTAAGTTATTATTTGAATTTTATTTTATAAGCCTCAAGTTTAATTTTTTTTAAATCGAATCTATAAAATTACGAGTAAAATAATTCAGATCAAATTTTTCAAATCAATTTAAGTAAACAAATCAATTTATGTTTTTTTAAACTCGAACATTCGACGATTCGTGTGTCTACACAGGAAAATTAAGAATTCTAATTAGAGCCCCCAACCCAATCTTTTGAGACAACCTTTATTCTTTATTTATTTTATTTTAACCTTCTAGGTTTAATTTTTAGTCACTTTCTCTTTAATTTATATATGATTAGTACTTTTATTTTAGGTCAAATTCTTTTATCAGTCCATATGCTATATGCAAAATGTACGATCCCTATATTTTAATTGAATCATATTTAATTCCTGTGTTTTTAAAACTTACAATTAAAAAGTAAAAAAATATAAATATAATATAACTAAAATATATTTTCAAATAACATTAAAAGAATTCATGTAATCACTTTAACGACAAAAATTATCGATATTATTGATTTATACCTATAATAACTTATAAAAGTAAATGATGAATTATTTCAAATTAAAGTAAAAAGATTAAATAAAGTAGACTAATTAGAGGGATCTAAACCGCTATTACACCACCTTTTGAGGATTGTTTAAGGAAAAAAGGAAAAGAAGAAACAAAAATATTAATTAAAAAAATGAAACGAAAATATGACTGCCTGTTATTGAGAAACACCACAGCCGCTAGATCATGGAGAGCCGAGCCAACTAAAGCTGATCAACGGCTGTGATTTTGTCTTGCACGATAATGAAAATTGTGAAAGGCGTGGCATATAATATAAGAATGGAAGGGAAATGATCACGTGCAGCAATAATATACAGTAAAAAAAAAGTTTTGTAAGTTTTATCATTGTTTAAATAATAAAATATGTAAAAAATATCGAAAACATTATTAGACGTTATCGATTTTTGTTATTATTGAATTGTTTACTGGATTTAATAAAAATAACTGAAAATATTATTAGACGCTATTGATTTTGTTATTATTATGTACTTTTATTGAAAATGTTTAAAAAAATAGAAGGTTAAATATTAATTTTTTTAATATTTACGATAAAAATACCTAACAATAACAAAATCGATAGCGATTAATAATGTTTTTAGTTATTTTTATCAAATTCGGTAAAAAAAAAGCTAATAATTACAAAATTAGTAACGTTTAATAATATTTTTGATTTTATTTTTCGATTTTATTATTTAAATAATAATCAAAAATAATTTTTTTATCGTATATTAAAGCTGCGTGTGATCATTTCTCTTCTTTAATGGAAGCTTCATGGGAAGTTGAATAATGTTTAAATAAATATAAAAGAGAGGGATAATGGCCAAAAGGGTAAAGCGAAGGGCTGAGTCGAGTATTTTGAGTTGAGCTGAGTTGATGGGTCGTTTTCTTTTCAATCGGTGCCGAGTCGCTTTACCAACCAAACTCTCGTTTTCGTTAATTTAATTTATCAGTGGATTCTAATCATCAATCCTTCTCAGCTTAATTGTTTTTCGTGTTTCTTCTTGCTTCTTTTGTTGATCGCAACCCTCGATTTGTCGTTGTTGCAGTGTAAGTTTCTTCTCTCGTTTTAAGAATTTAGGTTTCTCAGAAATTAGTCTTTTTCGTTTGAATCATTTGTTGAGCTGAATTAGTGCCATTGGTTTGCTTTGAAATGAAATGGAAAAGGAAATCTGGCGATCTCATTAGGATCTGATCCAAACGAGTGAGATTTTTAAAAATGAAGTATATGGATCTGTGAACAAGGATTTATTCCTGAGAAAACGTTGATTTTAGCTGAATTCTACCTTAAATTATCGCTGCCGACGTGTGTTTTCTGGAAGTAATGAAACGTGATGATATTCATTGCTGTTCTTGTTTGGCTTTCACATCATTAGTTTCGATTTGCTTTCATATGCCATAGCCTTAGCCTTCTTTTCTGATTCTTTTTGGAAGTAATCGCTAATCAAACTCAGTGTATGGTCTTTGCATTAAGTATTTGGATATTTGTCTTATTTGAGTCTTTGTTATCTGATTAATAAGTTTATTAGTAGTACTAGGGAGGCAAGGGCTCCAGCCTTTCTTGTTTTAGTTTAACTCTTTGCTAATACTTGTTTTCCCCTTTCTATGTCCCTCTGGCTGCAACCTCATCGGCCTGTTTTTTTTTTCTGTAGATGCAAGGGTTTAAGTAACCAAAATTCAGCTAGCAGTATAGAAAAGGGTGTGCACCTTTGCATGCCCAGAATTTGAGACTATCATGTTTGCTGAGAGCGCGAATGAGGAATCGCTTGGTCAGGATTTTGAGGCTCTGACTGTGTTTAAACGGCTTGTGAGGAGTGTTATCCAGAAGTTGAGGAAGAAAAACCATAGAGTTGAAGGGGATGAAGATGATAAGGTGAGAGGGGTTTCACTGAAATGTCTAACTCTATATGGTAGAGGTGGTGGTTGCAAAGTCGGTGCTGACACAGGTGAGGAATTTGGTGATCCGAGTATCAGTGAAGAAGGAAAGCTGTACAAATCAATTTGTGATATTGAGGAAAATAATTTCGATTGCTTCTCGTTTGGCATGGAGGAGAAGTTTTGGAAGAGGAGCAATAGAAAGGATTTAGATCTTGACGAATCGGTACGAAACAGTGGGATGCATATCTTTCTTCCAGATGATATTCTTGAGATGTGCTTGGTGAGACTACCATTGACAAGCCTTATGAATACCCGCCTCGTGTGCAAGAAATGGAGACACTTGACTACGACTCCTAGGTTTTTGCAGATGAGACGAGAAGGTTCATGTCAAAAGCCATGGTTGTTTCTCTTTGGTGCTGTTAAAGGCGGCTATTGCTCTGGGGAGATACATGCACTGGATGTGTCTCAAGATCAATGGCATAGGATTGGTGCTGATATCCTCAGAGGAAGGTTCATGTTCTCAGTTGCCTGTATGCAGGATGATGTTTATATCGTTGGAGGTTGTTCAAGCATAAACTACATTGGGAGGGTGGATAGGAGCTCATTCAAGACGCAGAAAGGTGTATTGGTCTTTAGCCCTCTCACCAAATCTTGGCGCAAAGCTTCATCTATGAGATATGCTAGATCAACGCCTATTTTAGGAGTATCCGAGGTCTGTTCAGATTTCTCAATCATTCAAAGCCATAAGAATCGACATGATAGGCAGTTTCCTAGATCTCGAGTTGGTGGGGTGTCAGATGTTTATGAGGATCCTCACAAGCTTTCACTCAGACGCCAGTATAGAAATGCTTTTGATGTAAATGAGCCTTCATCATTACCAAATAGAAAATCGTACAAGTTTATAAGACAGAGAAGTGAACAAGCAAATACAAAGGGTTGTAAAAGATTTGTGTTGATTGCTGTTGGAGGTCTTGGATCTTGGGATGAGCCATTGAATTCTGGTGAAATCTATGACTCTGTATCAAATAAATGGACTGAAATCCAGAAGCTGCCTTTAGACTTTGGGATTGTTTGTGCTGGGGTCGTTTGTAATGGGATGTTCTATGTCTGCTCCGACAATGACAAGTTAGCTGGTTATGACATAGAAAGAGGCTTCTGGATTGGAATCCAAACCTCAACATTTCCTCCCCATGTTCACGAGCACTATCCAAAACTTGTTTCTTGTAATGGTCACTTGTTTGTGTTTTATGTCTCTTGGTGTGAGGGAGATGGGCAAATTGGTCGGAGAAACAAGGCCGTGAGAAAATTGTGGGAGCTAGACCTGATGTATCTTACATGGACCGAGGTCTCGGTGCACCCTGATGCTCCAATGGACTGGAACCCTGTTTTCGTTGCCGACAGGAACTTAATATTCGGGGTTGAAATGTTTAAAATATTTGGTCAGGTGTTGGATTTCTTAACTTTGTGTTATGTGTCTAATGTGGAGATGAGTTGGAGCCGTATTTCTAGGAATCACTTGGCTCATGAATTAGATTCTTCTTCCTGCATAACTAAGACAATGGCGGTGCTACATCTATAATGCCTTCAGCAACGCACTGCAATTCAATCGGAAAATTATAAAACATCACAGCTGCTTGATCGGGGATTTTGCGCATACATTTCTTTTGGCCTGTGAATTTTTCGTATTTATTTCTTTGAATTTCCACAATTTGTAAGATGGCGACCACATCTGGTCTCTAGTGCTTTATTCAGTGGTAGCACAGGTATGGTCATTTGTAGTAATCTTCACAGAATTTCTTCAGCATTGTTCATAGACGGATTATTTATTTTTCATTTTGCTTCTGTTGCATCTTAATAAATTTCTGCCATGTTTCCTTTAAGAACTTGAGCTCTACAATTAATAGTAGGTTCTACTTGACATCGAACAGTAGAGTTGGACGAGTGCATGAAGAGTTCGAGCTCAATTTCAAACTAAATAAAGATTGAGTTCGAGTTTGAGTCAGAGGTAATGAACATCCACCATGGGGTTTTGTTCGAATCAGAAAATTTCAGATGATCGAGGAACTCAAAACGGCAATAAAAGAACTAAAGGCCTACAACATTCAATGCCAAAAACAATAGGTAGTTCGTGTAAAGTGATGAAGGTCAATGAAAACATCATAAAAACAAATGAACAATTTCTTGAAACCCTCTACAAGTGGGAAATCCATCAATATACACTAATATCTACTTACAAAACTATCCATTTAAGACAAAGGATGAAATTGAAAATACATACACGTTGATACTCACCCAATTATGCAGGAGAGCAATACAATAAATTATCACATGTTCGGAAATATTCCGGAGAAATTTGGGATCTTATCAACGTGCTCCAGGGCACGCTCGGCAATCTGCCGGGTTCTGTAGTCAGCATGCTGGAAGGCATCGACAAGTGCAGTGCTTACATTTTGATCTCCAGAAACTTCATATGCTATATCTTCGGTTCTTAAAAGTCTCTCAACAACCCAAACTGCTCTTCTCCTCAAGTTCTCTGTTTGTTTCTCGAGTAACACGTCGAGTATGGGCTTAATTGCCTCTGCCTCGCACAAAACGAACACTCCCTGCTCAATAGCAACTCCATCCAACAAGGTGGAAAGTGCAGCACGTGCTACTTCAACCACCTTCGCGTTGGTGTGGTCCAAGAGCGCAACCAACTTATGTACAGCCTGTCCTTCCAAAAGACAAAAGCTCTCTTTAAGTGAACATGTTCCCTGGTGAACACGACACAGTCCTGTTATGACAGCCTGTTTGCTAAAACATGGAAAGATAGAAGCACAGACTCCGGGTGGTGGCAACTCCGGCAATCTTGTCAAGCTTTTGGATTCTTGAGATAAGTTCTCCAAAGCGGTGGCAGAGACCATCTGGACGTTGTCAAGACCATTGGCCTGAAGCAATTCGATGAATAACGTTGCAAGAGTGTACTCACGCCAAAGAGCAACAGCATCAGGCTCATCCGACAAGACAAAAGTAACCCTTGCAAGCACACGAACAAGTCCTTCGAGGAATGGTGTTACAAAGCGGGTGCCCCTGGTCTCTCCTTGCTTGATTTTGACAACTCTAGAGATGATCAACTGAAATGCACTTTCATCTAGCATTTGCCTCGTGAGGCCCAAATCCCTCTCCGGCAGTTCAGCTAAGAGGCCAGCAGCTGCTGCCTGTTCTTCGGAAATTCCTGTGTTTTCCGATATGACTCTAATTAGGCTGCTGAGCTGACCAACCGTGCCACGTAGTGCATCTGCTAATTCCTGACTCATGTAAGGAGAGAGATTCTGCAGAAGTTTTATGCACGCCATTCGCAAATCCTGCTGCGTGACCTCTATAAACTGAACCAAACTGATAGTTGCTCCGGAGCTTTTAATTACAGCAAACAACATTCAGAACTGTAGTTTGAGAACTAGTGAGTCCCACAAGAACTTGAAGAAGTTTGAACTCGATTGTTGGACCAGTGTTGCTGATTAGATGAAGTAAGTTATGGACATTGTCTTCAGATACAAGAGTCTGATGGTCCTGTCCAACAGGAATGGAGCCGACATCATATCCCGAGTTTACAACATTGGACAGAATAGTGGCGGAGACTTCTTTAAGTCGCATGGGAAGCTGATTAGCCCCAACAGTAAAGAGGTCTTTGACAAGAAATAGATTTATTAATAAATTCAAAGAAAATATTTAAATTATATGAGAATTTGAAATTTTCAGAGAGGTGTCAGACTCAGCCCCCTTCTGTCCATCCCCGATGTTTATGTCACCCAGCATTGATCTTGTTGTGTTTTTTTTTCTTTTCTTTTTGTTTTAATATTTGAAATACCAAATACAGGGATGGTTTGAACTAGCGAGTGCTCGACATTCCACGGGTTCTTATCGTGTGAACACTGTCTTGTTAGTTCATACGTCTCATCCTTCTGCTACATCATTGTTTGTAGATGAAGGAAATGGTATTTATCAGCTTTATCTACCGAAGTAATTGAATTCGGATTTAATTCTTTTTGGAAGAGTGATTTAAGCTGCCTTTGCGAACTACACTGGAGAAGGTTATATTGTAGGCTTGTAGCACTGAATTCTCACTCGTATTGAGGCATTAATCATAGGGTTTATTTGTTTTCTATCTTTTTTTCTATAAAGAACTTATTCGATTCATGATCTGTAGTAATTGACTCTGTAGAACCGCACTTCACGTTATGTAAATGGGGATCTGGTAATGAGAAGTTGTTGGGAGAGGAACAATCTAGCCAGGACAAATCGCATCCACAGCTACGACACAGGGGTGCTACCCAGCTTTCTGGTACGCTTTTCGCCCTCTATATAGAAGTTGACGCTCATTTTGGCTGTCAACATGCATACCACATAGACAGAAAACTACTTAAAGCTGAAACTATTTGCAAAGAAAAGATTTTGGAACTATTGTTGTTAGGCTAAATCTTGGGTAATTTTATGCTGAAACCAAGTGATGGGTACTGTAATTGCAAAACATAACTGCTTCTTAATGGTTTGGTATGGTTTCTCACATTCTGCTTATGTTTGTGTAAAGAGGAGAAGACATCGTCGGAGAATAAAGCTTCGTGTGAAATTGACGACCAGTAAGTATCCTACCACACTTATGGAGCCTGTTTATGGTTTTGATTCTTTTAAAACTTTAAACTAGGGAATGCCTTTAGATTGTGTCTTCTTTTACTCACTCTCACGCCATTTTTGTTGTTGTTTTGCATTTGATTTGAGTTTTGAAATTGGAGAATGCTCGTCTTTGTTATTTGGGAGTGGCAGTGAAGCATCTCTTTTGGTTTGTTTCCAGGGCTAACTAGAAAGACCTTTTTCTGTGATATGTGATATATCTATTAAAGAAACTTAGCCAGGAAAGATTTTCCAGTTTAATTTAGTAAATTTGGATATAGAAACAATTACTTGGAATCGGGAAGTTCTACCGTACGACGGCCTTAATATACGGCTAAAGAAATGCGCTACCGGTTTTGTTATTTTTTTAACAAAACCGGTAAAAAAATTACCGGAAACATTATTATTTCTACCCAAAACATTATTGAGCGCTTTACTTAGCTTGGTAATATAACTGGTAAAACGCTACATAAAATATTATTACCAAACCGGTAAAGCGCCCAATAATAACAAAACCGGTAGCGTTTTTCCTTAGCCGTATATTAGGCTGCCGCACGTGAGACTTCCCCTTGGAATCATTTTGGTAAACTTTCTGTCTCCGGTTTAGGTTCAAAAGGAGAGATCTAAATCGCTGTCTCCGCCCAGCTATCATTTGAATCAGGTGCGCACTCAACTCAATGCTTTCGAACACGTACAGTACAAGATGAAAGTTCCCTTACAAGATATATCATACTATTGCAGCACAAGATACAATTGTAGAGATAGCAAACACATGCTCGGAAATGCTCTGTGCTTTCGATAAACTCAACAAGAAATCGGGAGGCAGTAAGGATGAAAAATAGTTCTCATTCCGGTAACTCTGCACAAAGCATGCCTCCATTTATGCTACCACCTGCTATGCTTTTCCTCTCTTCTGAACTTAACAACTCGGACATACGTGTCGATATTCCAATAGAGAGAAGAAGAAGAGAAGTATGTATAGTTCTGAGGTGAATGCACTCATAACATAATTTAATTTTATGCTTGTTACATTTATATCTTGTAGACTTTGGAGGCTGTTGCCCCCTTGTTCAAGTATTTGGTTTACATGAAATGTATTCTTGATTGAACATAGGTTGCATGAAGGTATTAATAATCATAATAACATGCATTTTGGGGACTTGAATTGTGAGGTGCAATTCACGCTAAAGTTATATTCTACAATTTGGGGATGTCAGGTGCAATTCACCCTAAAGTTATATTCTACAAACATAATAGATTATTACTGCAGAACAAGCCTTGATCATCTACAACTTAAGTGGGACGAGAAGGCAGAGCAGACATAGCTAGAAAATTTTGAGTTTTTGATTATTTTTCAATCACTATTCTGGCATGCCAAGTTGCCAAAAAAAATGTCGCGCCATATAAAAGAAATACAGCCACAACTTTACAACAATCCAATTCCATGCTCTGCACAAATATTTAAACACAACAGTGCATAGCAAAAAGGTAGCCAACCAAACAAAAACAGCAAATGAATAGAAGAGCCCGCGTGAAAATTACTTCTCTTTACCTTTTGGATTACCAGCTAGAAAGCGCGCCAATCTTTCTTCGGGCTATGTTGGTCCGATGAGACTTTAAATGGGCCGCTGGAGCCGAACGGGTCGGAGTCATCGAATGAGAATCCATGGCCAAAGTCTTTGCTGCTATTTATGGAATCAAACCTAGTGAGCGTTTCGGGTTGCCGTGAAAATCCACTGCTAAAGTCTTTGCTGCTGTCTACGGAGTCGAACCTCGTGAACCTATCAGGTTGCGTTGAAAATCCACCATCATTCATGCTGAAGGAATCAAACCTTGAGAAACTGTCAAAATCCCTTGACGTCTCACTGAACCTTGATGGAGAGTTCCCAAATTTGGAGGCCGGAGTGCTGGGAACCGAGTCTTCAAATGTAAATGGACTCTTCTTATCATAAAAGCTATCTGCACGAGGTGATTCTGTTCTTGTGTGTACACCAAAATCGCTTGATCCGAAAAAGTCTCTGTGCTCCGAATCCACGTCCTGCCATGTGACATTAAAGATCAAGAATTAATACATTTCAACACGTCAGACCGAGAAAGGATCATAATGAGTACACCAAAAATATATTAAACACAAAAGAACCAGAGTTTGTTGAGGCTAAGCTAGGTAAATCAGCCAGGTTTATGCCTTGTGACAGAGAGCTGAGAACAAGGTTACGGGCGTGTTACATCTTGGCATAAAACTTCACAAAATATTAAAAGTTAAAAGACATCTATAAAGTTTAGACAAATCAACAAAATATCCCAAACTATTTACTATTTTTACCCCATGGCCACCATACATTGTATATACCATTCGATTCATCATTCTACATAAATGGCAAATCTACAATATCTTTGTAACCTAAAATAAAAAGTGCGCTTTAAGAAGTTCAGGGTCACCTTGGTATTAACAGAATTAAATCCCCAGACAGAGTCCGTATCATCATTATCGAAGGTCCCCCATCCTGATTCATCAAAACTTCTGTGCAGAAAAAAAATTAAGTTAGCTAGCAAGAGTGAAAGACAAAAATAGTCAACTACAAACTAAAAAGTTCTATGCATCCATACCGATGTCTTTCTGAATCTGCTTCAGTACTCTTCTCAAAATGGTCATCAGAAAATTGTCGAGATGGACTTTCTAGAGAGTTTCTCTCTGCAGGACTACCATGAGGACTTCTGGCGGATTCATCTTCACTGTGTGCATATGCAGACTCGCTCTCAAAGGCATATTCAGCACTGAAGAGATTCCCAGTTTTTCCATTCACATAGGAGGAATCAGGGGTCAAGCTACCATTCGGAGATGCTTTTCCTCTCTGAGAGTCGGACACATTTTTCACATCCATGGTGAGCTCATTTCCAAATCCTGAAATTTGAAGTGAAAAAACACATAAAATTGTTACAGAACCCCGTCGAGTTAAGCATAACTTCATTTGCAGAATCCTAAAACAGTAATGGAAGGAAGTACCTTCATCTTCAAATTTGTCCCACTCTTCGTCCCAGAGTGCTGCTCCCTCAGGTACTCCAGGTTGCCAACCTTCAAAAGGCATTGCATATGAAAAGGCAAAAACGATCTCTAATTAATTAGTAAATGAATTTTTCTTTATTATAAAAAACAAAGACAAACAGAAAACTGAAGGATCATACCATACATGAACAAAGATAATAGTTACAAGTTACAACAATTAGCAAACATGGATTTATTGACAACTTATGTACTACCATTTTGAATTTCAAAAGTTTGTGAGAGAAGCTCCCGCTTCTCTCTAGAATCAAGGTGACCTAAGACAGGTGTATTTTCTCTTTCTTCTTTTTGGCTGGGAGTTTAGGTGGCCGCACCACCGTCATCTCCGACGTCAGACGACGCCGGCCGCCACCTCCGGTGGCCGTAGACCACCAAACTTCCAAGGTTTTATCGTCTCGATGCCAGCAACAAGGATCTAGTCTTTGTTTCATGAGGGAGAGCCTACAACTCAGTGGATCTAGGCCGAGGCCCCTCGACTTTTAGCCTGTCGGCAAGGCTTCTTCTCCGACGACGGCGCGAACAATCATAGCAGTTAAGCCTTAATCTTTACTATCTCCATCTCCATGCGGCAATCGTCTCTTCACAAAGCAACCATGGTAGCCACATTCATCCCCGATCTTTAGCGGCAGTTTAAGCCATATCCAACACGTGAAACAGTCCAATAAAATAAAATAAACTACAAAACCCAACACGCCAACAACCCTTTTCAACATCTTCTATTTTGTTTCTGTTCGGCCTCTTACTTTGTTTTTCTTCACCCTACCCATCTTCCTCCTGAGAAAAAAAAGCAAAAGATATGAGTTCCCAAGATCTTGAAGCGGGTCTTGCTTCACCACACCAAAACAAAAATCCATCCAAAAGTCTTGAACAGCAACAGCTTCTGCTTTCAAAAAGGACGGCCAAGAAACGCGATGAAGTAACCAAGAAAAAGGCTGAAGCCGCCTCTCGCCGGACTAAGACTCACCGTCAGTCCGAGATAGAGGAAAAGGAGATCGCAAAACCTTTGAAAAAACCAGATAATAAGGCGAATCGTGTGGATATTCTACTGCCGAAGGTGACTGAAGCGGAGCTACAAAAGCAGAGAGATGGGCAGCACGCAACGATGGTGCAGAAAGCAGAGGCGAGGAAGAAGCAGAGTAGTACAGTGGTGGAGGAAGAATATGAGAGGATGGTGTTGGTGACAAACAAGAATAGGGATGATTTGTTGGTTGAAGTAAGGAGCGTGTTGCGCAGATTTCTGAGGCGGAAAACCTACCACAGGATCTCCACGGTATTTATTAATGGTGGAAGAAAGACTATCCAAAAATCAATAATGGGTATAGAACTGGCTGCTTTACGTTATACATTGATAACTTACCAGATAAGATCCATTGGAAGCGGTTTGGATCGTTATTTTGCCCCTACGGTCAGGTTATTGATGCCTTCATTCCAACCAAAAGAAATTCAAAGGGGTTTGTTTCGGTTTCATTTGCTTTGCAACAATTGGAGAAGCCAGGAAAGCAATCTCAAAGATGAATGGCGCTCGCATTGATGGTAGTAAAATAGGAGTCTCTTTGGCTAAATACAACCCAAGACATTCTTTTTGGATAAAGTCTTCGCCAGTTGTTCACCCAAGGCCTAAGATGGAAGTTGTTACAAGAAATAATCTCTATACAGTAAACGGTGTTGTTGACGAAGCTAAACTTCAAGTTTTGGATAACTGCATAATGGGTTGGTGCAAGAACTATACCAAAATCGGCAATCTTGCTAGCCAAATGCAAGAGAAAGGACTCAAGGGTTTCTCGTTAATGAGAGCTGCTGGAAATGTAGTTCTAATGATATTTGAGGACTCTGCTACGTTGAGAAGGGTGAAGAATGAACAATCAGAGACTCTTGCAGAGTGGTTTTCCAAAGTTGACGTTTGGTCAGAGAGTCTAGTTGTAGAGTGTCGTCGAGTATGGGTAGTTTGCGAAGGGATTCCTTTTCACGCGTGGAATTGGGGTACTTTCAAGAACATTGCAGCTAGGTGGGGCAAATTATTAGCAATTGATGAAAGCACTCAGTTTCCTTCATCTTTTGATCGTGCAAAAATTCAAATCCTCACAGAGACTAAAGTGAGAATTGATGAGTCATTGGGTTTGAAGGTCGGTTCTAATTTTTTTAAAATCATGGTGCATGAAGTTGAGCCTTCTTTCAAACCAAATTCTTGGATCCCTGAGGAAGTCGATGATTCTTCAGATTTAATTTGTTCTCTTTGGGCAACGTCGGAGAATTCTTTGTCAGGATCGTCGGTGTCATCCTCAGCTTTAAATTGCCCCGTCGAAGATGTTGCAATTGAAGGTGCCCACATAGAAAAGGTTTCACTCATAAAGAGTGTCAAAAGTGATGAGTGAGGATGATCTTACTAAAAGTGGATCTACCGATTTTAGGTTAGGAATGTCTCCTTCTCCTTGTTTAGATTCAGGGTTTCACACAATGGAGGCTGTGGATCAATCAAAATTAAATATCGTGGAGCATCTAGTTAATAAATCAGTTGATCATTCTGATGGAGTTAGCCTAAGGGCCACGGAAGATGTTCTTATGATGGGTCTCACTACTTCTCATGGTTTATCCAGAGACGCAATACAATTAAAGGAAGATACCCCACTGGTGCCCCTATCCCTGTGAAATTAAGAACAAATCATTTGGTGAAGAAATGCAAGACAAAGAAAAGAGTTCCGAATTAAGTGGCAAGGATACATGATTGAAGGGAAGGAAGTGTGGTTTCGATTCATTGAAGATAACTTTTGAGCTGATTTTTTTTGTGATTTTGAATCATGTTGGTGATTTGTGGAGTTCCCTCCAGAGACGGATGTTTTCGTTTTAATGGTTTAAGGTGTTGTTTTCATGTAATGTTATGCTATCAACTGTTGGGTTGTTTTTCTTTTGCTGGAGGTTTATCTTAGGTATAGGGTGATTGCCTCTAGACTTTTGTGGCCGAGAAGGCGAGAGTTTTAGGTGGTTATGTTTTTTGTAATGGTGTTAATCTCCGTTTGAGGGTATTTCGTATTTTCATATGTAATGGGTGTTTTATTCAATGAAATATTGGGTACTCTTTTCTTCCTTCCAATGTTCATTAACATACTTCTTAGTATGTGGACGAATACGAAGGGAGTTTTTAATGAGACCTCCAACTTCTATAAAAAAAAGGGTTCTTAAAGACCGAAAACAAAAATGAAAATAAAACCGTGGTTCCATGCCAAAAGAAAATCTAAACAGACATTAACAAGCCAAATGACAGCAGAGAGCAGACCAAAATATAGAAGTTTAGGGTCATAGGGGGAGCCACCATATATAGTCCACAGCCCATAGACATAACCATGAAAATCAGTAAGATAGATCGTCAAACACAACCATAGACATGCTCAAATAAAATAATATCTCCACAGAATTACCAAGCTAATAACTTTTGAAAGGAAGTATTGAACTACAATATGGTTAGGCCCTCAAGAAGTTGGATCAAAAAGTAAAATGCAAGAACACCAAACATGATGGTAAAAATATCATACTACACTACAAGTCTTCACTCAATGAAAGTTGTGAGAAATAACTACCTTTATCAATAAAGGATAAAAGGTACCTGTGGGTAGCTCAATTACTGCAGCTGAGTTAACATCATGTCCATGTTTCTTGCTTCGTTCAGTCAGGGCTTTCATTAGCTCCTCAAGATCCGATTGTATGCGGTCAGCACGGACCTAGTTAAGTGATGATGCCTCAGTGTTGGAACATTTTACTCATTCAAACAACATTTAGTTGATAGGTTTAAATTACCTGAAGAATACCATCTGCACTGCCCCCTTGTTCCATGTTAACAATAGCCTGGTGCAATTCTGTCTTCCTCTCCTAAAAACAAGACAATTACAAAAGTTGGTGAAATTAAGAAAAGGGGGCCTGAAAGGGATATGAAGACCTACATACTACATGATGACGTGTTGCTAGTAGGCAAATGTTGTAGCCATATGTCAATTTAAAGAAAGAATGGAAGGACATACTAGATTAAAATGCAGAAATATAATTTTAGGATGCAAAAAAAGGAAAAAACACAAGAACAAAGACCCAGACATGTGAAACAAGGCTTAAAGGTTAATAAGTCATATCCTCTTATCCTGAAAAAAAGATGATGGCTTGACAGACACTCGGGCATTACGATGAGGATATCAACATCTAGATATTTCAGTCCAGGAAAATTCATGTGAAAAAACCCTATGCAATACAAATTGTTAAACCAATACAACGGCTCAAATAGCCCAAACCAACTCAAGGTCATTCAAGAATAAAAGAAAAAGTAATGATTACCTGAATCTCACGAAATTTTGCCTCTTCAATTGTTAATTTGGAAGCTATTTCTGCAACTTGCTTGTATCTCTCTTCGTATTTCTTTGCCAACATTTCAGCCTGCAACACAACTTGTTAGCCAGAAATCAATAAAATTATGTCCAAATAAATGAGATGAACACTTCTTTACATTTTAGGCAGTACCTCACGCTTATCTGCAATTGCCCTTTCCGTGATTTCATTCAGTCTATTATCACATCTGCTTTTATACATGACCTGAACATAAGGACAATGGAACTAGTATAAAAATGGTTGAATTTTGAAGTTCTAAAATTTCCCAGCCTTGGCATACAATTCACCAATTAAATTAGGAAAAGAATCAGCAATCAGGCTTTGCATTTAAATCTTAACGAGAGTGTTGTTGAATTATTAATGTAAAATTCATGCACACCCCTACACTAGTCGTTCTAGTTCTTTCTATAACCACAATGAGGAGCTTTACTACAGGTTTAATCAAAATGAGAAACACCCCCCCCCCAAAAAAAGCACAAGTGTCTCCAAAGAAAAAAAAAAGCGAAATAGAAAATACTCACAAGTTCCTGCATTTTCTCACGGTAGAACTCAAGCTTCTCCTTGGAATCCAAAATCACTTTTTCAGTTCCATTAACCTGCCAAATTTCAAAGAATTATGCTCCTCGTTATCCTCAAAAGGCTATGGAAGGCTAGCTTAGGTAAAAAAATTCTTTTCAGAAGTGTTAATAAAACAATCCTCAAAACTCTCACCAAACCTATGGAAGAATGGAGAAGGAACAACATAAGTGGGTACATGCCCACATGTGTGTGTATGTGCCAGTGTTTGTGTGTGTGTGTGAGAGTGAGAGTGAGAGTGAGAGTGAGTGAGAGTGAGAGTGAGAGTGAGAGTGAGAGTGAGAGTGAGAGTGAGAGTGAGAGTGAGTGAGAGTGAGAGTGAGAGTGAGAGTGAGAGTGAGAGTGAGAGTGAGAGTGAGTGAGAGTGAGAGTGAGTATTTGAGCATTATCTTGAAGATGTCATGCCTTGTCTCCATTAGCCATTAGATCTTGGGCTGTTCCGTTCTCTGAATTCTGTTCAGTATTATCAACTTGAGTTCCAAAGGAGTCATCCAAAACAGGTGCTCTTGGCTTTTGTTGGTTGGACATTGTAGTAGTATCAGCAGAAGCATTGGGAAGAATTGGAAGTTTTAAACCAGTTGAGTGAGTAATCGGCTGGGCACCCATCCCTGGTTGGGCACCCATCCCTGGTTGGGCACCCATTCCTGGCTGCTGTCCGAAACCTAATGGCAATAGTCGTTTTTTTCAAGATGATTCTTGGATGACAACAATGGGAACTAAAAAAATTAAAGAGATTAGAAGAGATTCAAACTTCTACCAGGATTGGGACCCCAAGCTGGATTTCCATACGAAACATTGGTTTGGCCTGTCATGGACAAGAGTGTCTCATCAAACATAACATTTTTTGGGAGTGCAGATGGAAGAGGACGGCCTTCCCTATACCGCTCCATCAAATAGAGAGCAAAACAGAACTCTCTCAAAGAAAGCATGCTATCACTATCCTGATCAGATAAGTCCCATACCTGCTTCAAAACCTCTGAAAAAGACAAAATAACAATGTTAAACATGTTTACCAGAATAACAATGGTCTGCATTCCAGCAGGACCGACCATGGAATACCAGAATAACAATGGTCTGCATTCCAGCAGGACCGACCAAGGAAATATTTCAAAGAAACACTGCACTGATAGAACTTCTCCAGCAAGATTCATGCCAAAATATTTTAGTCAAAACAAGGATTTATGGAATGATACCATCTAAAAAAAACTAGGTAACATCAGCTTACAACCCTAGCAGCAAAAAGTACTTTTACTACCCAAAACCTACAAGAATATGTAGATTATAGATTCCTAAATATCTGTAAGTTAGTTTGAAATTCAAATTCTTAGTCTTATCTCTAAATCAGTTTTATAGAGAAGTTTACTTTACTTAGGATTGTTCTCTAGAGTTCTATAAATTAGGAAGGAACTCTACTTTCGTAATCAAGTGAAAAATAAAAATCAGAAAATTTGGTCTTCTCTAAAACTCACAGAATAAAATCTTAATAACCAGCATAATTAAAAACAAACCTTTATCTATATAACTCCAAATGATAATGATAATATTCACACAAATTTTCTGAAGAAAAAAAAAGCCGTCAGACCACAGTACAATAACAAAATATATGTTTTGGGCTTTTAGCATTTGACGACAGGGAATTCCTAACACTATTTCTCATGCATAAGAAATCACCATACATGTTACACAAGCTAAGCAGATAATGCCATCTATGTCATGCATCACATTCATATCTCAGAAACTAATTTGAGTAATAACAACATATGAAGTGACCATACCTCTAGGTAGCCTCCAACTCAAAAATAGATTCCTCGCCTGCTCACCAGTTATTTTCCCATCTCTGTCAGTGTCCACTTCCATGAACACTTTTGTATATTTCTGAACATCAGATGGTTTCATTTTTGGCCATGGAGGCTGGGAACTGCTCGAAGTAGCACCCAGCTCCAACAGAGATTCCAGATGGTGTAATAGAGGAGGAACTTTGAGAAGAAGCTTGCTGGCCTGAGATTAAAGAAGGGTATGGCCTTTGACTTTGACTACCAGCATAAGGCACAGACAATGTACTTTGCAATGAGTCAAGAGAGTTGGACTTAACTAATGGTTGGGGCACACTTGAAACTGGTCTAACCCCTGATGAGGTGGGTGCACTGTGCGGAGCAAAGGTTTGTGCAGATAATTCTTGCTTTGACATAAATGAGGCTGCAGAAAATGCATCACCTCCAAATGTGGAGTTAGAAGCAGGTCCATTTCCAGAAACAACCAATGCTTTAGAATCATTAGCAGTAGGCTGGGAAGGCAACGAAACTGCTGTTTGAAGCTTTGGTGCTGTTGATGGAGTGAACCCTCCTGGCCCAGTTGAAGCTACACCAGTCTTTCCAGCAAGCCAATTGCTTGGCATATTTTGATTTGTGAAACCAGGACCAGTTGCAGCAGTGGGCATAGATTGATGCGAAAGGGAAGTCATACCAGTGGGCATAGATTGATGCGAAAGGGAAGTCATACCAGCGGACATAGCTTGAGGTTGACCAACTGTACTACCTCCCCTAGAAAACTCGGGAGCTACAATACCTTGAGGACGCAGGGCAGGTGCAGTAGGCATGGTTTGCGGGGGTCTCATTGACAGGTTTTGTTGAGAAGGGAACTGCTGCTGGCCCATACCAGCATTTGGAGCTTCTGGTCCTCTGAACCCAGGACTTGAAGAGGATGTTGGCATAGCTGCACCCATCTGTGGAGCGGATGTAGAAGGAAAATTAATTTGTGGCGCTGGAATTTTTGCTGCAGCAGGACCGTATAATGCTGCCTTGACAATGTCTGGTGTTAATTCACGCCTTTGTGCTACAGTCACAAGCTTGAGAGCATTAAAAAACTCTGGCTTACTTAGGGAACCACTATGGCTTTGATCAGCATATGTCCATATCTGAAATCATTGGATAAAACAATATGAATGAATCCATAATATTAAACTCCTTGCTTTAATAAATTAATACAAAAAAGAGGTATAGGGTACACGAATCACTATAGAGCATGTATAACGGCTAGATGTGTACTAATCCAACACAAAAATCTAGAAATTAAAATTTCCAATCCCTAAACTATGCCATTCACTATGCAAGTTTTGTTTAACAGGCAGTACATTAATAAAATCTAGAACAAACTGACGGTCACTGGTTCAGCGGCTAGCAAAGGAAAGTTTAAACATTTAAAGCATCCATAAGAAACATAGTCACAAAACAACTAGAAAAAGTCCCTATAACGAATGAATTAAGTTCTACTGTCAATTGCAACTTCAGCCAGCAAGACATGCATCTCAGTACAATCGAAACCTTATCCATTTGAAAAATTATTGACGTAGTAACTAGTAAAAGGAACAAATTCCACATAAGCAATGGACAAGTTGGTCAAGAGAAATCTGAAGAAGCAGACTGATAATTGTACAAGAGAAAAACAGCTACAAAATGTTTACGTTTATTGAGAAATTTCACCATGTTACAATCAAATGCAATCTAACCTAAATTCGGTAAGTTCCCAGAAATCCCGATTATAATAGAAAATGAAACGTGAGAGAGAGAGAGAGAGAGAGAGGTAAAGGGACCTGAGCGAGGACTTGTTTGGACAAACCGGATCCTTGAAAGAAAGAAACAGCCTCAGCTCCACTAATTCTGCCATCCCCATCTAAATCTGCTTTCCTGAAGTAAGATTCGAATGGATCCTGATTTTGCCCCGCCATCTCAACGCCCCAAAACAAAGAATCGAAGCAGATTCCGAACTAATCGTATAACTTTCCCAGATCAAGCTAGAACAATAAAATCCAGGATCAGATCACAAACTTGAGTACACGGGGAAACAATTGAATCAAAAAATAGGAAATACATTTCGAAAACAAAATTCAAAAAGTGTACAGAATCAAACGGAGAGTGAAGATGAGATGGGATTCACGGTGTTTTGGTGGTTAGATCGAGGAGAGGTGAGGAAATAGAAACAAGAGACGAGGCAGAAGAGGAGGAGAAAAAGAGATCAAAACGATCGTTGGCTAAATTATTAAGAAATGGGTGAAGTAGGAGAGACAATCGGATTCAGAGATGATGTGGGCTTGGTGGGCTGGGTCTAGAAATCGCCATGAACAAGAGATTGTGAACCATTTTAGGATGATATTTTTTTATCGTGGTTTTGCATTTAGCCCAAAACCCAAAGTTCAAATTTTCTTGGATCGTACAAGGTAGAGTACATTACTTTAGACAAGAAATTCCCATTGTCTTGGCTTTATCTGCCACTTGCCGCGGTCAGCAGAGAATCCTCCAACTCAAGCCTTCAACTTTTGCTTGCGTTGCGAGGATGGTTAAGGATCTCTTTAGCATTATATTAGATATGAATATATATTTATAAACATAATGACATTCATATTGCGTTTTTTAATATATTTTTATTTTAAATGTCATCTTTTTACTTTTATAAATATTTTTCAAACTTATAAACTTCTAACAACCTTATTTCTAAAAATTAAAGATAAACTACACAAACCATGATTTTTTTTTAAAATTTTGATCATTCAATTTTTGGGAGTTATATTTTAATTATTTACGTTATCGATCGATTATAAAAGTAATCACTTAGATATTAATTTTTATAATATTAATAATATGAAATATTACTAAAAATTTACTTTTTAATTCACATTAAACTTTATTTAAAATATAAATTATAGAAAAAATAAAAAACATTTCAACATAAACTAAATTATCTCCGTGGTTAAATGAATTGATATTATTCTTATATATTTTAGGTTCGAGTATCAGAGACTATAGAATACTTAAGCGACCTTTATTAAATAGTTGAAAATATTTAAAACATATATATTTCACTCTAAACTCAAATATGACTAACTCTATCCCAAAAAATAACTCAATAAAATTAAATCGGTTCAAAACTTGAACCTATCGAATTCCGAACTTGTGCCCATCTCTAACCCAAACCACCACATTACTTCTGTTGTTCGACGTTGTCTCTATGATGAAAGTCGCCAAATCTTAGTTATTTCTATCTTATTGTGCTTTCTCAGTTCAATTTTTTCTTAAAAAAAAAAAAAACCAAAGTCTTCAAATGTTGTAAATCAACCCTTGAGCCTTTAAACTTCACTTCATCCGATCTCTCAGATGGCCATCAAAGTGAATGTGTTATTTGTTTCACCTATTGAAATTGGCAACCCAAGTCCTATACCAAAATTCGATAAGTAGTCCTTTCTTATTTCTCCTCTTTAGTTTTTGGTCACTTGATTTTAGTTTTTGAATGATGATTATTGATAGTACTACCTTAGCAACAACATTGTTAAAAAAAACAACGAACGAAAGATGATAGTGCCAAGGAGGTGATAGGGATTTTTTTTTTATGATTTATTACAATGAATTAAGTGTTCGCTGTAAATATCAATTGACGATAAAGTTTGATGTATTGAGAGGTATGGACCTTTGCGGCTAGTGTGGTTTAGATGATTGCTTTTGGTAATGATGATAAAGAGGAGGGGCTTGAAGTTAACGGTGGTTATGTGTGAAAGTGGTTTGATCATTTTATAATTAATTATAAATATAAATGATTAAATTATAACTTGTTAAAGTTGAATGGTCAGAGCAAAATAAAGCAAAATTATTAATTATACAATTTACTAAAAAAACATGAAGATAAAAAGGCATTAGAGTTCCTTGTACTTTTAAAAAGATTCAACATAGCCCTCATATTTTTTTTTAATACGACTCTCCAACTCGGGAAAAAAATTTAAAATGACCCTTTGACCAATTTTTTTTGTCGTTAACATTATAGTACATACGTGTCAATTCACGATGCTGACGTGACGATCCACAATGCTAATGTGACGGTCCATAATGCTGACGTGGCAATCCATCAATCATGTTTCAGTTACAAATTTAGCCAATCTGTTATGTCACCCAACACATTAATCTATCACCCTAGACTACCATGTCAATACCATTGGACTGTCATGTCAGCACCCTAAACTATCACATCAATATTGTAACGAAACGATGAAAAACGTTAGTCTAAGAGTCACATTAAGTTTATTTTCTGTGTTGGAAGATCAATTAAAAATAATAATATGAGGTCACATTGAATTTTTTTTAAAAATATATAGGGACCTCTAATGTTTTTTTTCAGAAGTAAATATCCAATCAAAAAAAGAATAAATGCCAATATTTTAAAATTTTCAAAAATTATTTATCAGAACACTCTAGAAGATTAATACAACAATGCTAGAATAAAGGATATAAGCCAATTTGGTTAACTCAGAAACCAAACAAATAACTGAGTATATGAACAATGTCATTAGCTGAAATTAACATGGTAGTCGTATATAAATCACAACTCTACGTTTGCTTAACTAAATACTCTAATATGATCAAGCTGTTGTGATTGTTAATCTCATCTTTCCTAAATCAAAACCAAGAGGTTCAATAAAACCATGGCAAGAAATCATCCGAGCAAGCCATATTGTTCGACTAGATTAGTGTAAGAATCATAGCCTCGTGACGATTCCACTTTCCCAATCAGCTGATCGATTCCTGTATCAGAATTCTGGAAATAGAAGCTTTCAACCCCGTTTGCAATGTTATTAACCAAGTCTGAACTCACCGGTTTCGTCCTCTGATCCTTTGCCCCCACATCTTCCGTTCGTGCCCCTGGTTCTCCGTTGCCGGAACCAGAGGATGCCTTTGACTTTCTTTTCGAACGAGCACGACGATTCTGAAACCAGTTGTACACATTCGTTTCGGAGATCTGACCGTGCTGTGCTAGTTCAGCTGCTATCTCCTTGATTTTCTGCTTGCCCGGAGTCCCGGTTCCTTGCTCGTATATATTCTCGAGAATCTGGAGTTGCAGCGCGGTCGGAGTCCATCGCTGTCTCGCGGTGATTTTGTGGCCAATTGATAATATCGGGTCACAATATAGATTCCCCAGTCTGATTCCTGAGAGACAAAAAAAAATTAAATTGAATAGTCCATTAAGAGAAGAAGAAACAAAGGGAAAGGGGGGGGGGGACCAGTGAAATCGTGGTGGACAGATATTGATTTGTGTAACTCGGCGAGCTGCTCAGAAATGGCGGCGTAAGCAACGATCTGTTTCCTCAATTCCTCGACCTGTTCATCGGTCATCACTTTCCCGCAAACCCCATTCTGGGTTTGGTACTGCAAATCCTCGTCTGCTTGTTGCATCTCTTGATTTTCCCACTCCATTTTCGCGGGAAATAAGCTTGCCCTTGGAAACCCAGTTTCGATTTATGGAGAAAGAAGCGGCAACAAAGATGGGAATTGCAAATACTTGATTATAAAACGAGCAATTAAGGGAGCGAAAAACTGCATAAATTAGCAGAGAGGAGAGAAAGTTGGTCATTTCGCGTCGGTACTGCCGGGTTGCGCGGGTAAAATTTGTGTCTGATTATGGGAACTTTTTTGAGCAGTTGGGCCAATGGCGATCGTGATAGCCGTCGGGGGAGGGAAATTCCGTCAACCACGTTTGATTATTGAAATTCTAGTTTCCAAGTAAAACCACGGCTGAAAATTCAAACCACATCTTTCGTTTGTTTTTAGGCTTAATACAAAAATATGTGCATGAATTGGGCCTTAAAATACATTTTAGTGCTTAATTTTTTTTTTAAAAAATATGTATTTAATGTTCTTTATCGCTATATCTTTTAAATAAAAATATTATTTAAAAAAAAAAGGAGGGGAAAAATCAAACCCTCTTCTCTCTTATAGTTTCTCTTCCTCTCGTCGTCCCACTTCTGACATCAAATGATCATCATTGATCGAATTTTGTTCAAAACACAACGAGAAACACAATGGTAGCGATTGTGTAACAAATACCTAAAGACCATCTGGAACATTTTGGAGTAAAAGTATAATGTTGAAACCAGCAAGTGTTTTATGTAAGAGTGGTTCAAAGTTTCAAATAATAAACAGTAAGTCGATCATGAATAAAATTTCAAACTGTATGGATTGATATTGTGATCGTCATGTTAGTAAAATGAATTTTCTTAAAACGATCGTCGATGAAGCGATGAAAGCTCCGGTGGGTAGCAGCCTAGTTCGTGGTACTTTGGAGTATTTTCGTGGAAAGATGTCTCCATCCATGATATTTCAAGAACATGCAACATGGAAGCTGATTCACTTACAAAAGCAAGTAAAACGTCTATTTTGAGTAAAATATTTATGAACTAATAATGAATTCAATATGTTGGACTTAAATATTTATTTTTTAAATGCACAAAGATTAATTTTTTTTTAATAATAAAAAATAAAATGAAATTTTAATAGGATATAAGAACTGCCAGTAGACTTTAATCAAACTTATCCACTCTCAAAAGAAAGAAAGAAACTTATCCACTCTCACTGCATAATGATATCTCGGAGTAAGGTAAGTAATAATATATTAGTATAATGAAATGAGATATTAAATCTTCTAATAAAATTAAAAGTAACAAATTGAATTGAGAGGTTTCTCGGTAATGCTCAAATAATTTGTATACTAACATAAGGACGTGAATGAAAAATATTTTTATAGTCCGAGGATTAAACTAAAATATTTTAGGACAAATTCTATGTTTAATACCCTGACTATAACTTTATTTCATTTTTGTCACTCAACTATTTCCTTATTACAAAATCACACATGGTGTTTAGTTTTTATTTTTATTTTGGTCACACACCGTTAAAAAATCAACAATGGTGTTGATGCATTACCATAAGATAATTTCACATCATTATTGAAAAAAATAAAAATGTCACATCAGTAGGACGGTAGGTGATCAAAATGAAACCAAAACTAAGCGTTGGGTATATTTTTGAAACAAAAAATAGTTGAGTGACCAAAATGAAACAAAAAAGATAGCTAAGGTATTAAACGTGTAGTTTACCCATTATTTTAAATTTTATAAATTAATGAGTAAACTGTACCGGAGACCACCAACTTTAGTCCCTTTTCATTTTGACCACCATTTTTGAATTTTTCTCAAACAGGTCACCCAACTATTTAAATGCATTCAATCGGGCCACTTGCCGTTAACAGCTAACAGAAATACTAACGTGACAATTAATAAAATTAATATAATTCTACATTTAGTTCCTATTACTTATATATTCTATCGATTTAATCCTAATTTTAATTTAATTTAAAAAATTAACCTTGAATCAGGAGATATCACGTTACACCAGCTAATTAAATGGGAAGCAATGTAATAGGAAACAAAATAGAATAAATTGGATTACATCACAAATAAATGAAATAATGATCGATTTAGGCAAAGGATTGTGGGATGTCAAATAATAACATTCAATTAACAATGTCATAACATTACGATTGATGTGTCCAGTATTAACCTAGTAGGTTATACTTCTTTCGAAAATATTCACCAATAACTTACAAGAATGACTATATCTTTATAGCAATTCAAATAAGCTTACTAAGAATGCTATGACAACACAATCAACAAAAATCTCTCTTATGATAAATATTATTCTTATAGACGCTGATACTATTCATGATATAGCCACTCTCGTAGTATTACTGGCAGTTTATATCTCTACAAACAAGCAAAAAATTAAATCAAAGCAACACCAATCAATAATACTAAAGCAAAGCGAATAAACATTAAATTCATAAAATATATTCAAAATGAAGATCCAAAGTTTAACATCTCAACATAAAATAAAATAAAAATCTTAACAAAATAAAATCACCTTCTCTAGTTCAATCTAAATCGCTAAGATAACTCCAAATCGATCGTCAGCCACTGCTTTCACGGTTGTAACTTACTTTACGTTCAAGTGTTGTTTTTCCAAAGGTTTTTTACGATGCCATGGCGGCGGTAGTAGAGAAAAATAAAGGCGGCTATAAAAATTAGGGTTTTCAAATATGAGAACAGTGTGTAGAAAATAATATATTTATATCCCATCAAAGTTAAAGTTTCCACCAATAGGAAAATCCCTTTTTTATGAAAAATTATTTTTAAATTCAAATTTCAACCTTTTATCTCGCAACTTTATCAACTCATAAAATTTCTCTAATCGCTTTATGACTCAGCAATTGTTGCAGAATCGTCTCAGCAATCCAATCCAGCATCAATGTGCAACAACGATTACAACATTAACAATGTCACGACATTAGTATATCAATTTACAACAAAAACATTAAAATTAGGCCAAGTATCAATAATTCACTCTCAATATGCAAATGATATAAAATATGTTAAAATATATCTAAATATGAATCTAAAAATACTAAATACAAGTTTAACCCAAGTAAAAAATGCTCTAAATAATAACTCTTTTGGAGAGTTACTAAGACCACACTCGGCTTCTTCGACATTACTAACCGTTTCACCGCCCTAATTTTTTTCAGTTCGCCAAATCCTCTTACATTCCATGTGATACCATAGAAATTTAACATAGATTAACATTGGATAAACGCACCTCGAGTAGCGTACAGCTGCGACTCCGACTCCTTACCAACACCCTTCGGCCTCCTTCAAGCCTTGTAAACGTCTAAGCACCTAATCCTCAGACGTAACGAATTCTAGTCTGAAACTTTTTCCCACCATGAATGTGGCTTCTGCCTCTAGCTTGCCATGGCCATCGATTAGATTGCTAGTTAGGTGCGTGTTACCCAAACTCTACTCATCTACCTTTTTTTTGTTTTGGAATGTGCTTTCTTCACTGGAATCCTTCTTGATTGCGTAAATTTCCTTTTCCCTTTTCTGTCGCCTCTATCTTAGCTCTACATCTTGACTTCTTTTTCGATCGGACCTCTGTTTTATCATCAACGATCCCCTCACACTCCTCAATCGATATTAGATTGGTTGGATTTGAGATTATGGGCTCGTTATTATTGAAAGCTTGACAATCTACGACCCTTAGAAGAACATCCTGAAGTCTCGAACCATTTGACATTAATAATTCAAAAATGCTCT